AAGATCAGACATGAGCTGCTCATGTCAGGCAACGCAAATGCAGTTTTTTGTTGTAGGGTTGAGAACTATAGAAAAATCACAGATACATATGCATAAATTACATACTAATTATGCAAGAAATATAGCAACGCACACCAAAGCAAAATGCATCACTATGCAGTCACCCGGACTGAATGAACAGCTACAACATGCTCAGACACTGATTATGGATTAATGTAGAAAAACAATTCTGCTACTAAATGATCCAGTCATTAAAGATTTGTTTGTCTGCACTGGAAATATTAACCACAGCCTGGTTCACATTTAATGTCACAGTAAAATCCTGGATGTCTCTCTAGCCCTAAAACTGTGCAGTGTGTAAAACAAATACTCTACAGAAGACAAGATGATATTATGATGCTGTGAGAAAAGCCTATGTGAGTTCTGACTGCAAACACAATGAGAAAAGATGAGAATGAGAGAACTACCCTTACGAAAAAGAAGTTTATTCAAGTGTGCTATTGGTATACTTCTTTTAAACTAAAACATAGGAAAGTATCATTTTAGTCTACTTTTTATGTACTTCTCAGAAATATACTTAAAATGACATTGACTTATGACTTATGACATGACTTATATCTAAATATATTTGAGCTATACTTGTGCTCCTAGAATAAGTGTTTTCATTGTTATCCGCCAGGGGGCGCTAGTACCCATCTTCTGTACAGAATTTCCAAAAAAAACAAAAGAGAAGAAGAAACCGAAACAATAGATGCTTCCACATGTATGAAACTTATCCACATTCAAGTGTTTAAAAAAAGAATGCATGAAGCTAGAATAAAATGTTTTTGTTTACAAGCAGATACCCTGTTCTTTTGGTGTTTTGTATGTTCAGATATTCATATAACAAAATATATACAAATTAATACCTAAATAGGGACATAGTAGTATACTTAAAGTATGATGTAAAGTTAAACTTAAAGAAACCTTATGAGTATACTTGCAGTATAAAACTATATTTCAAAGTGTACTAAAAATGCTACTACAAGTATTTAATTAGAAAACTATCAGTATGCCTATAACTTAACTTTTAGTATAGTTGCAGTACAAACTAAACATTTTGATGTAAACTAGTTGTGTACTCAAAGTTTACTACTGTTATACTTAAAGTATACTTTTACATACTAGAAAGTGGGCCAATTTAGTCCCAAGGAGTATTGAAATAGTACACTTACAAGTATACTACTAGTACACTGATATTTGTATACTTACTACATAATGTATACTTAAAAATATACTTGAACTTTACTTAAGTATACTTACTAAAATAAACTTGAAGTATACTACTTTTTGGTAAGGGTAGACATAGTTCAGTTTGTCATTCAGTGAAGTGTCAGTATTACAGCAGAGATGATCACATCATATCAGACTTTAGAAGAGGTTTATTTAAAAAAAACTATACATTTAGAGATTAATATTTTTGATCAGCTTCCAAAAAAATTTTTTTTTAAACAAAACTAAAGAGATGATGCGTCAGAGTATTATGATCTCACTTTAATTTAATGCTCATTTTAATATATTTTTCTATAATAATAACTATATTACTATCTACTATTCACACATATTAGTAAAGGCAGATCACACTATGGCCAGATGCTGTCTCAGCGCTAGGACTGCTTCTGGTACACAGACTGGAACATGTTTAAAGAGGCAGCCACCTACCACAACCACACAGACCTGCAGGAGTACCCTGAAACAGTGACTGCAAACATCAGAAAGTGCACTGATGATGTGACGTAGAATCACCACACCTGCTAACCAGAAGCCATGGCTGACAGCAGAGGTTCGTGTGCTGCTAAAGAACCGAGATGAAGCATTCAGATCAGGAGATAAAGCAGCCCTCAAAACAGCAAGGGCCAATCTGTCCCGTGGCATCAAGAAAGCAAAACACAAACACAAAATAAATAAATACATAAATACATTTTAAAAAATCAATAATTACTTCACTGACATACACAGAGTCTGTGGCAAGCCATTCAAACCAGATGACTGCAATCTCCTGCCACAGGCCTGTGATGACAACACATCCCTCCCAGATGCACCCAACTACTTCTACTCACAATTTGGTATCTAGGACCTTATCTAGGATTAACCCACGCAAGGCGGCAGGTCTATAGACTGTGCTGAACAGCTGACAGATGCACTAACAGGCATCTTTAACACCTCGCTAAGCCAGGCAGTCAACCCATGTCTCAAGTCCACCACCATCATACCAGTACCAAAGGAGTCACCTGTGTCCCGTCTGAATGAATATAGCACTCACTGACCCTAATCATGATGAAGTGTGATAGCTTACAATGCTGTTGCTGTATCGGGCTTCTGTTAGTATCTCAAAACAGAAGAATTAAATCAATATTTACTGTAGATCGGTTATGACTATGAGCTGTAATATACAAAATTATAAAACACTATAAAGATGAAAAATTTAGTAAACAGTAGCTATGCACAGATATGAATGAAATAAATAAAATTAAATACTAAAGAAATACAGAGCAGACAATATAAAAACGAAAAGATTTACATGTATTAATTTAGCAGGTGCTTTTTTTCTGCTCACAAATGAGAACATGACAAACAGCGGCTTTCAGCAAATGTGTGGCGGTCAGTCCCAATGATAAGAAGAAGTGGCTACGGCTTTGTGCTGTTTTCACAATCAGATGCTGCACTTTCAGTGAGTTACAATTTTTAGGGAGGAACGTGTGGCTTTTGTCCATTTTTAGAATATTAATATCAGTATTGCTTGTCTGATTAAAAGTGGTGCCATCTTTTTTTCGTCGGTGGAAAATCTGACAATGTTTGACTGTCACAGACTATAAGTGTTTGAACTTAGTCTTGATAGATTTACTGTTATTGTCTTCACACTCCTGTCATAAAGTGACACACTGAGACATTCATTCAGACTTTCTGCAATCATCTAGATTGGTCACAGTCTTCAGCTGGTGTGCCCAAGATGGCCACCGACGGACACTGTGTGGTTGTAAGCACATGGCTTCTGTTGTGTTTGTTTGGTACATGTGCTTACAACCACACAGTGTCCTTTGGTGGCCATCTTGGGCACACCAGCTGAAGACTGTGACAAATCTAGATGATAGAAAGTTTACAGATGTGATTGTGTGTAATTGACAATGCATAAGGATAATCTGATATATGTCTGTGATTTCTAGTCTCAGATGATCCAGACGGGCCTGTGAAGTTTCATTCAGATGCCAAAGCTGAGGTGAGATTCTTTAGTCAAAACCTTCAGCATGTTCTCAAGAACAAACACCAGCAGCTGAAGACCCGAACAACATCATCAGACTACAGTCTGTTGAGCTCCTGGATTCTTTCAGTTTTTACAGACTCATCTGATCACAAACAAACAGACTTATGAACAGATTCTTTCTCAGATCTGTGTCTCAATACTGCACAAGCTTTCACTATATAAAGGGAAACCCCTGGACAGATGGCTGGTCCATCACACATTCATACAAACAAACAGCTCGGTGTCTTCAGTTCACAGGATAAGCATGTCTATGGATTGAGGACGAAATGTCAGATAAGAGAGACATACAAAATTTGCAGAGCAGGGTGTTAGGACCAGGATTGAAAACCACTGGTGAAAAGAGTTCTGCTGCTGGATTGACTTGAGCCAATCACGTGAGCTATAAATGTCACATGACTACTGACTCTAGAGCTGCAGGGAAATTACATCATGTCAACACTGATTGGTCGATGACAAGAACAGCCTCAAAGCTTGATGCCTCCTTGTCATTTCTGACTTAATAATGTCTAAAAGTTGCTGTGTGACAAGATGTACAGCAAACAAGCTAAAAAACCCAGAACTATGTTTTTATAAGCTGTCAACCCCAAAAAAACGAGCATTTAGGACACAAACGTAGAGCACATCGTCTCATATTACTCTGAGAACTGCGCCCACTGGAGAGAAACATAATCGTGACAAGACCACTCATTATTTTTATCAGAGGATCATTTCACCACCTGATGTGAACCTGAGAGCAGGAGATATATTAAGGAAATACATTTTATTGGTCTATGTCAGTGCCCCTTTTCCTAACCTTCCTTTTGTTTGAGAAATGATCCGCTCAATGGCCCGACGTGAAATACCCGACATCTACAACTATTTGATCGGGGAAAAAATAAAATAAAAATGTAACTGATTGCAGTAGGCTACAGATCGACAAAGAGAACCGTCTGATCATTCTTTAATGGGTTTCATTTGATTAACAGAGATGTGTGTAAAGATGCATCTCCAGCAGTCACTTTTATTAGCATGTTTAATTCAGTTTTCAGTCCAGTGCTGTTACAGTAAATCTTTCAAAGAAATGTCAAATAATTACAGAAAACAGCAAGTTTTAGTACAGTAGTACACTGTGCTACAAAAATATAAAAACATGTTTATCATTTTAAATTATGAATATAGATTTGTTGACCTATTATTATTATCCATCCTTCTGGCTTACACTATTCTGGATATTGCTGAATATTTGTATTACTAGTATTTCTCATGGCATTTCTTCTTGTATTCCTCATTTGTACTATACGTTGTTTGGACAAAAGCATCTGTTAAATGAATAAATGTAAATGTAAAGATGCTGTCAGGAGCTGGAGAGTCCAGAAGAGACTTTAACGTTCTGTGGTTTACAGAAGAGAAACCAGATTAATTAATAAAGTCACACACGCTGTTCAATATTACTGAAACTGATGGACTTCATTTATATCTTACATCATGTGTGATCTTCTGTGGTTCATGAGAGCAGCTTGTTATACGGTGTAATGCCTTCTTATGTGGCCTGTATCCTGAGATGGCATTGTTGTGTTGGTTTACGCGCAGTACGTCCTGCGTCACAGGACACATGAGGACCAATGCTTTTCTCTCTTTAGTGCTGGGTCCCGCCCTCTTGTGTTCTGTGACGCAGGACTTCGAATAAAAACGGTTCAGAACTGAAGAAGATCGTTGACCAACGCGAGCACAATATAATAATGTGTGAGTCTCTGTGTGATCACTGAAGGCTGTTGTGGATGTCTCATGTATCTCGTAAGTCAGCTGTAAACTCATCTAATGTTTAAATGAGAAGTTTTAATAAAAGTAAAGAAATATGTTTTGGAGTGAATTACTGTATACTGATGACTTTACCCTTTAATCGTGGCTCTGTGTTTATATTTATATACTGTAGTTAAGACCGGGGCTAGCTGTCACATTGTTAAGCATTTAACTTAATATATTACTGTAAAGGCTTTGAGTAACACACTTTTGTAACACCCGTGTATGTAACATGTATGTACTGTTTGAGTATTTTATAATTTTTTTATTATAACCTGCAGTGATATCTCAGTACATTATAAAAGATCACATGTACCAGAGTGGGGATTTAGGTTTAATTGTCTATTTTATTAAAAACTTTATCACCAAACATTTCCATCTGGATGCTGGATTATTTATGGCTTATTTTATTTGACCAGAAATGTTTTAATAGCTTCCACTTGCAAGATATGAATTACTGTCTTGATTTAGAACCATCAAGGTGAGGAGAAATTAATGTTGATTGTTTTTCTTTATATTAGATTTTTATTGTTTAAATGAGAAGTATTGGAAGTAAACACATGAACAGATGAAGACACAAAGCAGTGAAACATGAAGCTCATCAGATGGAGCAGCTCCAAAGATAGACGACTGAATTGTAAAGGAAAACAAACGCTGATGTTAGTCAGAAGGAACAGCATAGATGGCAAAAGACCAAACTGTGAGTATTTGTGATGTTTAAGACAAAACACACTTTATCATGTCTTTAATCATCAACACTGTTTCTCCTTCTCTAATCTGTGAATGGGTCATTAATAAACTATATATCAAAATAACCATTACATTTATACATTTGGCAGACTTTTTTTTATCTAAAGCAACTTGCACTGAATTCAAGATCAGTTCATATTTCATGAATCAGAACTGAACCCGTGATCTTGGTGTTGCGAGCACCATTCTTGTACAGAACTGCTGTAATCAGATGTTTGTGTTTTTCATTTCTAGTTTCTCAAGATGCAGACGGCTTCATTCTGATGCTTCAGAAAGAGTCACAGACTCTCACACATCAGACCCAGCAGCTGATTTCTGATCCTGGAGACTGAGCTTCCTATAGAGTCCAGCTTTCTGGAGATCAAGCCGGTGTTCCTCTGGAAAGTGATTTTGTGCCTCTCTGTGATGATGCTGTACATTGACTAGTCTCTCACTCATAGACCGCAGGCTAGTATTAGATGCATAAGAATGAGTTTTTATACAGATTCATGTTATTTTGAATCACTGATTACTGTATGTAGTGCACTGCACACTGTATGATATTATATGTAATATAGCATGGTGCAGCAATGCCAGTGTCATAGGTTTAAATCCCAGAGAATGCATGAAGTCATAAGATATATAGCTTTAACACAGTGATTATTAAACCCTTATACTGCACACTTTTCATTTCTCCTTAAAGTCTGATGCATGCATTTAAGGTTGTGGGGTCTCTGCTAATGAATTGATTGCATTGCAAGAAACATGAACTAGAATAAAATGTGTATAAATTGTATTGCAATAAATCTGTACTACTCCAGGAAATAAAACCTGGTTTACACCTGTAAAAATAAATAAATGAAGAAGAAAAAAACACTTTATTTCAAATGCTTCTTTATTTTCATGATGAACTTCATCTTTCAATGGATAAACAACAGCAAGAGTAAGAAATGTGTTTTGATTGAACATATCACTAAAGTACAAGATCAGACATTAACACAAAGACCATACAGCCCTCTACAGGAGCTCATCAGTATTACAGCTGAGAAAAATCACATCTACAACGAAATCTATAAATGTAAATTACAGGAGTGATGTACATTTTAATCAATGATTATATATTTTGACATTATACTATGTCCTTAAATTCATTATAGCACTAATAAAGAGATGCTTCAAACACATTGTCACTTTAATTAAAAATAAAAAAACAATTTACTTTTAAATTTGAACATTTAAATAAAAGTTCAGCATGTGCAGGATGATGACACGTCAGCACTGTGTTATTATAGTACAGAAACAGAAACATTTGCTAATTTAGTTGTTATAGCACAAAATGTCAAATGAAGATCACGGAAAAATGTAAGATTACGAGAAAACCACTTTTCTTAAGTCGTGATGATGATAAAACTAGAAATAAATTCATAACCCATGGCTTTAGGACTTCCAAACAACCGCGCCAACATAATACAGCAATAACAGCAATAATAGGCTAAATGCAATAAATCATTAGACACTTACAGTAGCCTATAATCCAGTGTTGTATCCGAATCAGAAAAGAGCAAAATCAAGAGCAGCTCCTGTAAATGCATCAGTCCACTCTCAGAAGATCTTCAGCAGAAGCTCGGTCTGGATCAGCTCGCGTTTAGTGGACTGCTTTTATAGAGCAGGCTGGGTTCTCTTTCATATAGACTAGCGCATGCGCACAGGAGAATACAGGCTGATTTCTGAGAAATGTGACCTCATACAGAGCAGGCTCATTTCTGAGAAATATCGAGTTATTATTAACTTACATATAAGTTATGAAATATAGACGGACTAAGTGCGGAAGACATTGATTCTTGACACATGGAACACATGTCCAGCAATTGTAACTGCTATTAGGTTTAAAAATTAAAATATTTTCAATTGTAAGTGTTATGGGGGATTATAATAGAATGTATTTAACACAATCACCCCCTTCAATTTAATTTGATCGTTATTATATCAAATCTATGACACTTATTGTCTTCTCACTGCGTCTAAAACTGTGTCCACAGAGAAGGGTTCAATCATTCATATGCTATAAAATGGATAAAAAAGATAAAAGAGCTTGTTTTATCAAAAGCAACACTTAATAATTTCTCCTATCAAAGCAAGGCTGTTGTCAAGGACACATGCGTGTTTCATAAGGTTTCAAAGTCGTGTCCCCACTTTTTGTCAACACCGTCAGACATTTGTTAAAATGCAAAAAACAAAACCAATCTGGGAATATCAGGGGCAGCTGTGACTCTAACAGAGCCCTTTTCCACATTCAGCTCTGCAGAGAGCATCAGTGTCCGACAGGCTCTGCGAAGTAAAGGCTATGAACTCATGTGGTTTATGAAAGAAATGCAGTAAGATGTTCTGTCTCACAGAGCTGACGGGCCACTGACGCAGTTGACATTCAACATGTAGAAGTCATTTTATTTTTATTTTTTGTAGTTTTCAAGTCATTTTTAATCACATTAAATATAAGATAGTGTTGAATTTTTCTAATAATGTATAAATACTAAATATACAGCAAATATTGCTTTAGTGGATTGATAGTCATCACTTTAGGGTTGATGGAATAAACACAAAATGCACTTCAATAATGAAATACAACATATTATGAAATGTTGCATGAATTACAGTGAAACATTAATGTCACACTTCCCCAGATATTGGCCACAAAATTAAATGGATGATCACCCAAAAAGAAAATTCAATCTGAGAATCATGTTGTTAAATTATGTTCTATTTTCTGTTGTACTCTATCAATAATTCCATTCTCCATACAATGACAGTTCAATATGAGCATGTCTTACGTTCTTTTGACAAAAACAACAGTTCAAGGTAAAAAAAAACACATTTTGATAAAAAAAGAGAAAAGTTGGGAGGTTGCATCAAAGCATAGCTCAGTAGCTTAGCACATGTAAAATACATAAATCATTTGTCTGAGTAAGGTTTTATTTTTTCAATATTACACCCTGTTTTGTCCCACTTCTCAAGAATCAGTGATACACAAGCACACACTCCTTCAACAAACCACACATATATAGCCTACCTTCACTAACACACTCCCACATGTATTTTTCACCAATATAGGTCTTTTTTCAAGTTTGAACATTTATGAATAACACAGCAACACTGTTTAATCTCTGTTCAGTGATTATGTGACTCAAGTGTTGACTTATGAAAAACCTGCTCAAACGCTTAGCAACTTATAAATAGGCTACTAGATACTGTTTAGTTTCTATTTCGCTATGATTTCTTGTTATATGTTTGTGCTTATTGTTGTGTTGCTTCTATGACCTGGAGCCTGTATCATGAAGCTGGTTTAGCTGCTAGCCGGGTAAGTTTCAGTTTAGTTTGCACCCATCCTGGGTTTTAGGTACCAGAGGACTTGGTTTAGTAACTTACACTCCACAGCTAATCTGCTCGGGGACAGGTTATGTTCTGAGTTAGAGATCTCAAACTGAAATCAGACCAATCAGATGTGAGCAAAGTGACACATGTCTGACGCAAACATGTCACTCCCCCAGTCTCTCTTGCTCCAAATTAAAGGTCACTAGCACTAAAAAAATGTCTGGCTTTAATGATAATTACTAATAATGAATGATTATTATTAATCCATTACACACAAGCAATTTTAGTTTAACAGTAATTATAAATCATTTCTTTTAAATGAATATTCATATATACAGATCATATGTAATATAAATAAGCTGTAGAATCAATAGATAACACTTTTTAAAAATGACTACATGTGACCTTACATGTTCGAGTCTCTATCGCTGTATAATTTCAACTATATAACAAGTTCCACTCGCGACTGCACTGATAGAGCAAGTTCCTTTCTTTTATTTCTCCTCTTTCATGGACAAGTACTTTCTTCAGTGTAAATGCATTTAAATTCCTCATATTCTTTAATCTCTTAACCTTCAGCAAAAGAGTTTTGAATCTCTCTCTCATGAGAAGTGAGTCACACTTGCTCTGTGTTGTGATTGGCTGTTCACCAGTGATGTCACACATTCATGCGCACACTTCCACAAACTCAGGATCAAAGCCTGAGTTGACAAAGAAAGCTGATGATCAGCATCGTGGTACCAACAAAGCTGGACTGGAGTGCTTTGGTTTTGTCAGCTGGAAACTAATCCTGTAACTCGTGTTAAGAACGTGTGTATTACTAACAACCAGTGGTTTGTTACTATGTTTAAACTGTTTTTGTCTTGCATAACCTTTCAGCCATTATACTCTACAAGCTGATATTAATCCCAGTTTTCATATATTTTAATATTGATAGTCATATTGTTTTTTAAACTATTGTCAGATTTGTCATCAGCTCTTTCCTTCTCTCTGAAAGCAGTTATATCCTCATGAAGCGGATTATAACACTGATCCTGTAATATAACATGACGATGTGTGTGATGAGTCTCTTTATGCTTTTTATGTATTTTTATACATTCTTGTGTGATATAGATTTACATTAGATTCACTAATACAAACATTACTTTAAAAATGAGTAAAAACAATTTGCTAAACAATTAAAGATAAAGATGTTTTAATGAGTGTGTGATGAGCTGGAAAGAGTCTGAGATCTGCTGTTGTGATTGAGATCTTTATAAGTTTACAGTGACACTCTAAAGCGCTTTCTATTGAACTATAATTTGCATAATTATTAATAATGAACGGTTAGATGGGTTATGGTTAGAGTTATGATGTTGATTTATGTTGTTGAAAGCAACTATAAGCCATGAGTTTGAAAGTTACCCTTGAAATAATTTTTCCTTTTTATTTATTTATTTATTTGTTTGTTTGTTTTGTTATTAAGCTAGCAGTTTTGTGCATTTGTAATTATACTCAATGTTTTAGTATTACTATTGTTTTTCATAAATACCACAGAAAGCATATAGTTGGCTGTGGCTGATGTGATGCTGGTTTAGTCATTTAATGATTAACTTTCTTCACACTTCTTCACTCAACTCACTAAATGTAAAACAATCCTTTTATGACCTTTAATATTAACCAAATGCGTTTGACTCGGGGATGTAACAAAAATGACAGCTGGTTTGACTCTTGAATGATTGAATGTGAATTTGTATGAACAGACATTTTAAACTCTTGTGTTCATGTCAATCGTTAATAATATCCCTACTCTGTGCTTGAACAGTGTTTTATGACCTTCAGATTGTTGTTTGGGCAATTTCTTTATTTTGCTCTAGATGGCGCCAATCACTTATCCAGCAATATTAGCGTTTGGGTTTGATTATTTAGGGCCCATAGAGGACGCAGGGCCCCATTGATTATACAGCATTACATTGTGTGCAAAATCTGTTTAGATCAGAGTATATTTACAACAGACAGAACTCTTGATTGTGTTATGGACAAAGTGACTCAAAATCAATTGAGCAATCTGTATAAACCAAACAAAAGTTAGGTGAAAAATGTATAATCCATGTTTTCATTTTTGAAGATCAGTCCATTCATTCTGCAGGAAAACACCCTGGACAAATCCTTCATGGCGTCTCTTCAGACCAAAGCTGTGTAATAGACAGACAGACTGTAGTGTCGTCTGGGTCTGGAGCGGTTTGGGTGCTTTATTATTATTGCTTCATTAAAGTTCCAGTCAAATAATCCACCATATTTCAGCTGCATCTTCAGTCGCTCAGTTCCACATCAGTTTTCTCTCTGTCCATGAGCAGTTTATATCTCATCTGTCACTGTCTCTCACTGAATGACTCTCTACAGCTTCATCGGCATCATAAGAGACTGCAGAAAAGAAAGATGGAAAGCAGAAATATTACAGTGTAAAAAGAAATGTAAATATCTTTATCAAAATTACACTTTTCTAGATGTAGCCTATGCATGAACTAAAAGTCATGTTAAAACAAGTCAAGTCAAGTCACCTTTATTTATAGCGCTTTATAATACAGATTGTGTCAAAGCAGCTTTACAGTATTAAATAGGCAAATATTGCATCAATAATGCAAAAGGACAACAGTAAACACTCAATGTTTCAGTTAAAGTCAGTTCATCATTGATTCAGTAAACACTCACAGTTTGGTCTTGTTTGTTCCAGACTGTGCTGACTATGAAGTCTCCAAGATTTCTTCTTTAATTCTTCAGATTGTGAGTTTTTGTCTTTGCTCTTCTGATTTTTGCTGTTCTGCAGTTTCTGAAGCTTCAGATACGGTTCATCACACATCATCATCTTCAGTCCAGAATGTCCATTAACATTTATTCTCTGTTAATAAAAAACATATTCAGATAAAGCATGTTTTTAACACAAGCAGACATAGTCGACAGTCAGTATGGTGTATTTTCATACTGGAGCTAGTTGTCACACTTTTAACTCCAGTCAAGTCATTTTTGAAAGTTAATTTCTATATGAACTCAACTAGAACATTTTTCACTGTTATTTACCCACAAACACTATATACAGTTCATTTGACATACACTGACTGTAGTGGGGTGTTTATGGACAATGATAATGACTAATGAAACACATCAAACAGAAAAAATAACATGCATTATTAAATAAATATTGAAAAACATGTGACAACATGCCCCAGCCTTCATTATACAGTGTCTTAATGTATGTTTGAGAGGTTTTATTGTGTTACCAAACAGCAATTTCAGACCATTTAAAATGATTTAAAACAAGCTTTGAGTAATGATATATTTGACTTCTTTGCTGTGAGATTAAACTTAATTTGACCCTCTAACTCTAGCACTCTCTATTCTAATTCTATTTTATCATACTGTTGCTCTTTTGTTGGTTTTGATTGCTTCTATTATCCTCATTTGTAAGTTGCTTCAGATAAAAGCGTCTGCTAAATGAGTAAATGTAAATATAAATGTAAACTATGTAATAAAAGCTCTGTATCTAGCCCCAGTCATAGCTATATAATTTCTTCACTTTTTATCAAGGCATGTGTTAAAAACGCTTTAAATGAATTTAAAAGTGACTTACATGTAGAGACGTCCACAACAGCTTTAGTAATAACACACTGTCAGTCACCGACCGAGACACTTCTGTGCTCTGTGTTTATAAGCTGCTGCGTCTTTCTAAAACCAGGGTTTGGTCGAATAGGTGTGCCTCTATGAGACAACTATAACAATAAATCTAAACCAACAAGTCTAAAATCAGTGTACTGGAAAATTACGTGCAAACCATATATTCAATACTGATGATGAGTGTCAACAGACAGAAACATAAGCGCAGCAGAAGAAAGCCCTTTTTTGGGAAATTTCATTTCTCTTATGTCAGGAGAGTAAAGAGTGCTTTACACAATAACAATAATAATTGGCAGGATTGCAGCAATTAGATGAAGTGGTTTAGGAAATGTATATTTACAACAGATGGAATAAACACAAAATGCACTTCAATAATGAAATACAGCATATTATGTTGCATGAATTACAGTGAAACGTTAATGTCACACTTCCCCAGATATTGGCCACAAAATTAAAGGGATGATCATGTTGTTAAATTCTGTTCTATTTTCTGTTGTACTCTATCAATAATTCCATTCTCCATACAATGACAGTTCAATATGAGCATGTCTTACGTTCTTTTGACAAAAACACATGGGAAGAATATGAACGTACGCTGTAGAAAGGGCAACATAAAGTACACAAAAGAGTCCGCAGGTTGTGGTTAAGTGCTCATGGAAAAAGAGACTGAATCATGTGGTTAAACCAGTTCTTTCAAACAGCTCCTATTACTCACACGTGCTTGATATTGCTTTCTCTTTTGTCTAAGCAACAACATTCTCACATCTACTGTATAAAGCACAAGACTTGTTTGGAGAAGGACGCGTCCAGAACATTTATACACATTCAGTTATCCTTATTAAAGTATTATAATCTATTCAACTCAAAGACAGTTTGACCTGAGGCCTGCCATAAAATAATTGTATTTATAAATTTGTCATCAGCTCTTTCGTCCTCACTAACAGCAGTTATATCCTCATGAAGCTGATTAACACTGCTCCTGTAATACAGTCTGATCCAGCGTGAAGCACATCAGAGTCTCTTTGTGCTCCATGTGACACATGATGCTCCTCAGCCTCAGATCAGAGCTCTGACTTCTCCTCACACTGTCTCTAATCTGAACTCAAACTAAAGGCCTTTGAGTTTGCAGTGAAAGCCATCTAGTTGTGGACAAAGATGATGACGTTAATCTTCAACGCATTACAATAATTATATAACACTTGATACTTAATTTATAATGCCTTAAATTCTATTTAGTCCAAGAGTTCTCAGCTTTTGCATAAAAGTTTAGCATTTATTTTCAATACCATTCATTTCTATTTTATTATTTGGTTCTATTTTCTCATTACTGTAATATATTCCTTTTTTTATAAATGTAATGGTTTTTGAATAATCACCTTATTTGTGCTAATTAATCTAAGGACATAGTTTAGTATATTTAAAATAGATTTTCAGGCTGATCAAAATGTAGACTCCAAAATGTAGGCACTGATTTGATCAGGGCGATGCCACAGAGAAAAAGTGTTTTCACACATTGTGGTGATCAAAAGATGAAGCTCTTTGTGTCTGGGATTGTGAATGTTCTGCTAGTGTAAGAGTGAATGTCATGTTGTGATTCTGATATCAACCTTCACTGAATTCAGCTCAATCTTTACTGAACATGTCCTCCTTGGTAAAGTTGTTTTCCAGTGAGGCCAAAGACAGCGTTCCTCACATTCTTCCTCCAAAATTATGCTTCGGCTCGTCTCAGGTTTATTATACTGTATCTCATCCTTTTCCCGTCTTTCTCTCGTCTTATTGTTCAATTC